TAAATGTTTATGGTGACTAAGTTGAGAAATAAGAGAATGTTTATATTTTGATTTGTGTCTTTAGGATACAATTTACGTTCATACATCACAAAACGGTATTTACATAAAAAGTGACCTTCGCACTAATAATCTGTGGACAGAGTTTTGACATACATCGTTTTAGTTGCTGGTTTTCCGGGTTATAATACATCTACAAAACAGCCTTCAACCTACGTCAGCCAGTAAATGCCTGGAAAGTGAGAACGCGGACCTCCTGACAAGACCCGTCGTCACTTTAAAACGTCAAGTTGCCGGAGAAGAGCGAAACGCCGGCGGTTGAAAAACCTCTAAATAATTCGTGAAAACCCGAGAAAACCTCTTTTCGGTATTTGGCGATCCTATTTTTTATTCATAGTTCATCTGTCCTAAAGGCCAGTTTTGAGTGAAGGAATATGCTTTGGATCCCCTGCATGGCAGAAGATTGCGGTGCTGGATTGCAGCGTTTTGCGAAATGAGGTGCCAGACATTGACCAGAGGCGTGCAACAATCACATCAGAAGATTTCTTTATACCCAAATAGTCGTGAAGGCGATTTTCAAAATACTAGATCTCGGTGACCGCAATAGAGAAGAAACCTTTTATCTTATTCCCTAAAGACAGAGGAACGGTGACAGTAGGCCAGGCAAGTTCATATCTGGTATTTACGTCACACGTTGCAGATATTATTGATGTTGCATTTATAATAATTTAAGCTTCTAAATATCCTCACGGTAGGATTTTGATCGACAGACCTCTTTGACCAAAAGTTAGATGATACATAATCGTTTTCTGCATGTGTGCAGACGCTGGCTGCGCAATGATAACGCCACCTAGAGGATATCGGACAGAAATATTTGTGCTTGACAAGTACAACATAAAAAATGGATATCAATGGAAATAACAGAAACTTGCTTGACATGGTTTATTAGAGCTAAATATTTGCAGCATTCCCAGAACTCTGATGACCCCACATGACACAGATTTCCCCATAAAGACCACGCCTGAATTCCACTGTAAGCCTGATGATATTTGCCTTCTTATCTTCTTCTGCAAGTGCCGCGATCGACTTATTCCCCCACAACGCACTTCGTTCCCGGCGAAGAAGCTCTAGATTCTTTATCACATTCGTAAATTTCAGAGCACCCTATACAGTCCGGAAAGCCCACCGCAAGAACGCGCGTCGTTAAGCGGTAGGTACTCTTGAAACATATAGTATTCAAATATTCATTCCATTTCCCACTGTGCTCTCATGAAGGCTTTGTTTTGCTGTTTGAAATCACTTAGCACGCACAAATCATATGCGTATTGTGACATTATTTGTCCTGCAATGTTTCCTCAGCAACGAATAGGTTCCACAGGTAGGGTCCTAGGGTAAATCCCTGTGCTACTCATAGCCTTGGTGTTATATTTTTGTTTTTGCATGATTTTTTTTGCCTCGTAACTGTCGGATAGGCAAATAGTTTTCTATAATCTTGATAACATTGTTAGGGATGCCCGTTTGTTATAACTTAAAAATAAGAGCACTATCAGTAATAGTCAAAGGCTTTTGAGAGGGGGTTACCGCTGCTACGTGATGTCATTGTCCGAGTCATCTGTAATGCCTTTAACTGTTCGTAAAAGTTGTGTTCTCTTGCCTTTGGTGAAACCATGCAGATATTCTGGAATGATTTTACTGATACTATACTACAACTATTTAAAACTGTAATGACTCATACGCGTGATCAACACGTGATCAGAGCTCGATCCCGGCTTCCTTCCAGTACAGCCGTATAGCGTACGACATATGTATGTCGTTTCTGTGGCTTTGCGGTGGTCAACAGCACAGACAGAGATGGAAATAATGGCTGATTGTTCTCCACCGGTAGAACCAATGAAATCAAAGACGCGCCTCGACCGGCAGACTCATAGGCGTCGGCAACGCATTGGAACGTGTTTCGTTGAGCGATCGCATATTGTGTGTTTTTATAAGAATTGTTGTGTGATTGTTATTGTTGTGGTTTCTGTGGTTACTGTTTTGGTTATACTTAACCATGGAGCGTACAAATGGCACAAGTGGAAGTACTGAAAGCCAGGGAACAAGTAGACGGCTTCGTAAAGCACTGAAGAGGGACGCGAAAGAAATCGTGCTCAACGTGTTCAATTATCTGAACAGAACTATGTCGCAGGGAGATGCACTCGCGCGTTGTGAAAGTATGACAGGCGTTCCAGAGTGGACCATTCGCAGGGTGGTGCATGAAAAGAAGAAAACTGGAGCTACTACTGATCCAAAGTTTAATTTGAAGGGACGAAAGGCCGTTAAATTGGATGACGATAGCAAAATGGCGTTAAGGCGAACCATACATTCATTCTTCTTTAGGAATGAGATACCAACCCTCAAGGCTGTACATGCAGCGATCAAGGAAAATGAAATTATACCCCAAATGAGCGTCGAGGTAATGAGGAAATCCCTGCACGAAATTAATTTTCGTTACGAAACGCGTAATCGGAAGTCAGTATTGATAGAGAGACCTGAAATAGTCGCCTGGCGTCGAAAATACCTACGCGAAATGATTGAATATAGGCGACAAAGCAGAAAAATCTATTATTTGGACGAGACATGGGTAAATGCAGGTCACACAGTTAAAAAAACCTGGATAGACAAAAACGTAGTGAGTAACCGACAAGCAAGCATTGAACGTTTGTCAACAGGTCTTCGTGGACCGTCAGGTAAAGGTCAAAGATTGATCGTAACTCATATTGGTAGCGATAGTGGCTTTTTAGAAGAGTGTGACTTGATTTTCGTTTCTAAGAAAGGAGGTGATTACCATGACGAAATGAATGCCAGCTGCTTCGAAAGCTGGTTTCAAGGGGTGCTTCAGCGAGTTGAGCCCAACTCTGTGATCGTCATGGATAATGCTTCCTACCATAGTCGTCGAGCCGAACGTTTACCGACTATGGGATCTCCAAAAAGTGACATGCAGCAATGGTTGCGCGAAAAAGGAATCCCGTTTGACGATTCATGTGTGAAAGCGGAATTGTATGAAAAAATTAAACAGCACAAACCTGCGAACATTAGTTACGTGACTGATGAGATGGCCCGTCAATGTGGTGTCACTGTGCTGCGGTTACCGCCCTACCACTGTGAACTGAACCCAATAGAGCTCATCTGGGCTCAAGTGAAGGGTTATATTGCGCGCCATAACACAACCTTCAAATTACCAGACGTTAAGGTTTTACTTGAGACTTCAATACAGCTAGTAAGGCCCGAAGCTTGGCAGAATGCTATCCGTCATGTTGTGGAGGAAGAAACAAAAATGTGGCAGCTTGAGTACCACATCGACACCATCATAGAGCCAGTTATAGTCAATTTCAACGAGGAAAGCGATAGCGACAGTTTATTACTGTCAGATGTAAGTGGAAGCGACGATGAATAAAGGTAATTCCCAAATTTTTAACTTACAATATGTTTCAAACCGCTCTTTATTAAGCATGTGACAAATCTAGTTCACCCATGTTAAACATTCATACCCCGCCTATGAACAGCCGACTACTGGTAGTTAAGTGATCTTCACGTGAACATCGATGAGTCATTACAGTTTTAGATAGTTATAGTATAGGCATGACTTGATGAAGTATAACTTTTTCGGCAATTTTATCCATTATATTGAGCAAAGTTATTGGCCTGTACGTTTCTGATCTGAATATCCAGTACTAAGAATCCAATTTATAACATGGACCAGTTGAACTTTAATTGTGGCCTCTGCATGTCTTGTAGCATTTATTTGAATACTATCAGGTCCTGATGCCTCCAATTTCTAGCGTTTCATTTGATATATAATGGGTACAAAGAATAAAGTTTGATGATCGAAAAGCGGCGAATCAAAGCGTTAGTTCACGTCGGAGCGGCGCACAGTAGAGGCGACGAGGGGCCATCGTAAATAGTTAAAGTGCCAAACACTAGACCTATGTCGGAGCTGTATTATTCACCGGATCGCTCTGTCGACTGTTTAATAATGTATCAGCTTTTAGGGTGTCAAATTGGCACCGTGGTGGCACGGAATCGCGCACTGCCGACGACGGTATTGCCCCGATCGCCCCTATCGCGCATAGGGGAGAGTGGGGCCTATTTACAGAACAGGACTCTACATCACTGTGGCGAAGGAAGCTTTCAAGACCCAAGAATTGAAGAAATGGTTGCACCCAGCAGTTCTTTATGTATATCGTTCGACAAACTAAAAGCAGAATCCATGGGCGATCACAGATGCAATGCTCGTTGATATATAGGCAGAAGATAGCTAAATCACTCACCGCCAAGAGCTTAAGACCGTGAGGGGCACAGCGGCTGCTATAAGGAACTTAATCCGCATGGCTGATATGTAAAAACCCATATAATATCAAAAAAATCGGGTAAATGTCAACTTGTGCACTAGGTAGGCGCTAGTGAGCCGCTAATTCATTCCGCGTCGTGATTGTCAGCCAGTTCAAAGGCGACATTTTGTAGGAAAATCTGGATAACGTCAAAAAAACCTACATAATGTCATGAAAAATCGATATGTCACTTTTAAGTTACGTAGCAGGGTTTTTAATCTGCCTAAGGTTAGTATAACTAAGAAAGGCTACCTCAGGCAGATTATTAAGCAGCCTCGACACCTCGTACAAAGGTCGTTTGTACAAGTGTCGAGGTGGGCACATTAGACCTAGGTAACCCCAATTGTTGCAAATTAAGGGATGAATTAGCAATAATCACACGGCGATAACTTCGAACAGTATTTATAGATCAGCACATGTGAAATTTTTTTTTTATACTCCAACTACCACGAAGGCCTAAGGCCTAAGCACCAATTGGGTACCGTTAGGCTATAGGGGGATACATGGGAAAGGGGGAACGCCACACGGACTCTGGCGAGGGAACACGTGTACATGCAACATGCACACATTCTGGCTCCGCCTACGAGATCCGCAGGGTGGTTCCTCCGCGTTCGACAGTCAGAGATCGTCTACCACCTATGGACAATCCATAGCCAAGAGAAAAATTTCTCCTGGGACGGGACTCGAACCCGCCACCGCTGCTGCCTGACATGGTTGTAATTGAATTTTATCAAACTAATAATGAGTACCTTTTCCCATTTTATCTGCTGCCGAAGAGTATACATTCTCTTTGCTATTTATACGCAAATTCAAAATATTCTGCGAGTCAACTTTGACTTAGTCTGTCTAGTATGGATGAAAGCAATTACAAAAAACACTTAATTATCGAAATGGTTTTCATCTTTTTACATAACAATGCTCTAAACAAAAAAACAGACACTGACAACGTCAGTCAGATTTATAACTTCTTGACTAAGAAATTTGTCGGACTTAAAACCTAGGCAGTGTAATCCTTTCTTAGAATTTGTGATTGCTCCTGGTATTGATATATCTGGAGGCAAACAGTCTGGATTTTCCCCGTTTTGGTTCAGTTGGTTTAATGTAGTTAAACTGACATCTCTTTGTTTTGTTTTTTATGTTCTACTCTTTATTTTCATAGTTGACCTAAGGTTTGTTTGTTTCCCTTGCGACGTATTTTGCGTGACCCATTCATTAGGTAAGAATATTTTGGCTGTAAAAGTTTTGCGTATAACTTCGTTGGTTTTATTTAGTTTGTTCTTCTGTAATGTCACATTTAGAGGAAACATGTTTAACTTGTTAGATTCTGAATTATCATATAATAACTTTTAATATGTACGAAGGCTAATTGTCATCGTTTTTATATTCTTGTGTTTTTTCTTAGCGATTTTTTTTAACTGACCTCTTTTCACTTCATTGCTATACTCACAGTTTGGAATTTTTAAATGCATTTTTTACACATTTTTTGTAGACGAAAGGAAAACTTAAAATAAACATCAAAACTAAAGACATTTTTGGCATCTGTTGATTTATCCCAAGAATCAGAAGTAATCGAAAACACATAACGGACACTGGGATAAGAAGCTATTTCTTTTGTAGCCAGTGTTTCTGGGTGAAGTGTGTTACCCCCTACATACATCCCTGTCCCAACAACGCAAATCTACAAGTCTCCAGTAATTGATAACATCACCCGTGCTATTCGGGGTGCAGCTCGTCCAGTACGTGTAAACGGATGGTCTCCCATGGCAGACAAACAAATCAACAGTGGGCCCATACAAAATGCAAGGGCTATGAAGCAATATCTGCTGATTACCATTAGGTCAACTCTGATTGGGTTAGAGTGGCTGGAATATTGCAAACATATTCATATCAGTATGGAGGTCATTAAATTGTCATATCATTTGTGTTGACCTAAGAGGGTGGTTGAATATGGATGAGGTGATTGTGTGATCTAGTTTGGTGGTAGATTTGTGGGGTACCTGGAGGCATGTAGATTGAGGGTATTATTATACATGCATATGATATTTACTATTTATAGTTCATTGAAGCTGGATGAGCAAAAGATAAGGAAAACAAGAAAAATCAGGGCCGAGACGGAATCCAAAGTTTCCTTAAATCGCTGGCAAAAGAATTTTTCTAGGGATCCAAACGGGATATTACTCCTCTATTCAAGCGCGGACCTAGGGTGGGGGGTCATGTGCGAATCTAACTTGACCACTAATATTTATGACTTTCGAATCTCTGATGTGGAAATAAGAGGGTTGCGTAAGTCTGGTTGTCTATACGTTCAGCTTGACGCAAATATAAATAAAATAGTGATTCTGCGTTTTTAGGCTCTGTATCACTGCATGCCCGTTAGTGCAAAATTGGAAATTGAGCCTGATGTGTCCTCTGATTGAGGTAGTTAATTGAAAATCCAGACGTTTGGACAAGACTATAAAAAACTTTTTGACGTTACAAAATCGGAGAAAAGCAGTTTCATTTGAGTGAAAAGAGAAGGTAAGTAGTAAGAATCATAGTAATCAAACCGTAAGGGTGTTCAAATCTCGCTCTCTTCACAAGCGCGAGTCCAGGGGAGGCGAATCTAGTTTAACCGCTAATATTTATGACTTTTGAATCTGTTTGATAAATTTAGACTTTATTCAAATATGTATTCGGTACAAACGGGTAAAAAATCACCGGATTTGGTTAAAAATCACCACACCTGGCAACCCTGACCAATTTGTAAGCGCATTCATGATGGCGTGGGAATAAAAGGGTTGCGTAAATCTGGTTGCCTATACGTTCGCTTGACGCAAATATAAATAAAATAGTGATTTTGCATTTTTCAGCGTTTTAGCAATACATGCCCTTTAGTGCATTATTGGAGATTGAGTCTCATCTATCTGATGATAAACGACAAAATCAGTAACTGGTCTCTTTAGATATCGATATTACGTAGTCGTGCCATAAGTTCTGTCCCATGATAATCTCATGATAAAAATGAAACAAGATAAGATATATTTATATGAAAGATATTATTTATTCGACAACATTTTTAGAATTCATAATCAAACAGTTTTATTCAAAATGTCCCCCCTTGGCCTTCACACACTGCTTCAATCTCGCGGGCCACTCATCTATCACTGCACGCACAGCTTCCAAAGGAATAGCTGCCGCTGATCGGATCAAATCCGCTTTCAGGGACTCGATATTACGGTGGGCTTTGGAGCAGGCCAACTGCTCTAGCAGGTCCCACAACTTGTAGTCTAAAGGATTGAGGTCCGGACTCCCTGAGGGCCAATCTTCCGCAGCAATGAACTCTGGCACATTGCTTTCCAGCCAGCGCTGCGTACTCTTAGCCTTGTGAGCGGGGGCGGAATCCTGCTGGTAGACCCAGTGTTGGTTGGCAAACAATGTACCACTTAAAGGCTTGACGATAGGATCCAGTATGTCGCTCTGATAGTTTGCCGCTTTTGTTTTCACGCCCTGTTTACAGAAATGGAGCTGAGTGACCCCTTCGTAGGACACCCCCCACCAAACCATGACTGACACAGGGTGGTGGCCTCTCTCAACTCTCGGAATGATCTCCGAAGCTTCCTGTGAACTCCTTGCATACACTTTGTCATTTTGTCGGTTGAATTTTTCTTCTATGGTGAAGATTTTCTCATCCGTGAACAAAATCTTTCGGAATCCCCCAGCTGCGTACCTCTCCAAGAGCTTCTTGGATCTTGTCGCCCTGATGTGTCGCAAGGTGGCCGTAAGTCGCTGGCCCGTACGTCTCCGGTAAGCCCCTAGCCCTAGGTCTTGTTTAATGATGCGCGACATCGTCCGGACAGGAATCTTCATTTCCCTGGATAGGATCTTCTGCTTCCGGAGTGGATTCCTTTGAATCCTGGCTTTTACGGCTTTGATGGCTGCTGGAGTCCTTACTTGACGAGGTCTTCCGCTTCTTGGCCTGTCATCAACAGAGGACGTCTCATTGTACCGCTGAATGGTCCTAGACACAAATTTACGCGATATTTGAAGGCCGCGTAAGAGTTCAAAAATCTGACTAGCACTGTGATTACACTTATGTAAAGCTATCACTGCAATACGGTTCTCTGCCTTGCCCCATTCCATCGTTATGCTTCGAGAGATCAATACAAACTGAGGTATATGTAATTACCCGAAAAGCGCTTAATCAACTGACACCACAATGTAAACAATCGGACAAGTATTAACAGGTCTACACTTGTTTGAAAACGAGGGACAGAACTTATGGCATGACTATGTAGATGCCCAAGAATTGTATCAAGGCAAACACAAAGGGCAAATAACGTACATGCTCAGTCAGCAAATGAGTATTTCTAGACAATGTACTCACTCCTCTACGGCAGATGATCGCTTAACTGGACTGGCACTCTTAGATATCGATAAAGATGTACATGTCGATACGGAAGAAGTTATAAATCGATTTACAATAAGACAAAAAAGAAGAAATAATTTTGATATTTAACAATAAGAACGTCCCTTTTAAATTAGACTTATTGTTTTATTATGAATAACATTTAGGCCACACCAGAGACGAATATCTTCCTGAATATGAACCCTGTGCCGCCGCCCCCCTCCCCCTGACACAAATGCTGGATCCGCCCTTGCCTCTATTCTGCTTCACTGGTGCGCCTATGGATATCTATGCTTTATCTAAAATATAATGGATAATGTTCTCTAGCCATATAAACCCAGACGTTCACCCATCGGTCTGTCTAAACAAACAAAAAGGTACTATAGAGTGGTAAGAGCCAGAATGAATCGGTGCGGAATCGTTACAGCGGTTTTAGATAAACGTAAAATCAGTCCCAAATAAAAATATTATTGATAAACGCGTTGTTATTAAGCTCATTAGGAAATTCCTGCTTGTGAATAATGGAAACTTTAAGTTGGGCCTCTGCTATCGCGCTACCACAGAAGGGGGTTGGAATCCGTCTAGGCGAAATGAACCACTTTGTACAGAAAAAAATTCTCGAAAAATTGTTTCACGCATATTAAGATACTAAAAGTGCACAGTATATGTTTGGACGCAAGTTTACCGGAGCAATTCTAGAAAATTTAGAAAAGAATCTATCAAGACCCCAAGAGCTATGAACTGATTAACAAGAAAGACTTCTCCGTGGCCACCCATTGTTGTCAGAAAATATTGCTTGCATTCTGTGATAGCTGTTGATGGGGTCGTCGCGGAGGAGATTTTCTATCCCAGTGTGAGGAAATCCAAAGCCATCCAAATCTTACCCAGGCCGTTTCTGTTACCATTATAGCCCATGGTTGTTAATTGTATCAGGTAACCAAATAAGTTCGTGCGGTTTTTAATATAAAAATATAAATGTTTATTGAGAAACAATAAGACACTATTTATTCGTCGAAGTAGTTACCATCACATTCAATGACCTTTTACCAACGTGACACCAATTTTTGTATGCCGGTATTGTAGAACTCCCTGGATTTGGAGTTAATAAAAAAAAAATTGGCGGACTGCATGTATTACACCATCTCGAGTTGTGAACTGTCGGTGCCTCATACAGTCAAGAGACAAAAAAAGGTGATAATCATAGGGCGAAATGTCGGGAGAATATGGCGGGTGCGGTAACGTTTCCCAGCCGAGATCAGAAATTTTTTCTCAGGTCACTTTTGCGGTATGAGGCTTGGCGTTATCCTACAAGAATATCACTTTCTTCCGATTGATCAAAGAATGCTGTTCTGGATGAGTGCTGCTTGTATACGTTGAAGCTGCTCACATTACAAGTTAGCAGAGATGGTTTGACCCCTTTCCAGAAACTCATAATGGACAATTCCAGTTGCTGTCCACCAAACACACAACAAAACCTTATTTGGGTGCAAGGAAGGCTTGGGCGTGTAGGCGACAACCAATGATAGGAACGCTTAGAATTCGAACACAAAATCCATTTTTCGTCGCAGGTTAGTAACCAATTAAGAAATGGTTCATTAGCGTTGCGTGAAATGTTTGCTGAACAAATGGTGAAACGACTTAATTTGTTATCATTTGTCAGTTCATGTGGAGGGACCCATTTGCTTAACTTCCACGTCTTTCCTAGCTGATGAAGATGCAAACGAATACTTTCAGGACTCAGTCTGAATATTTCTGCAAGTTCTTCGCACGTTGTCCTGGAATTTGCGTCCACAACCTGTCGAAGATCCTCGTTGTTCATGATTTTTGGTCTCCCTGAGCGCGGTTCATCGCTCAAACTGAGATCTCCCGAAGAAAATTTTGTGAGAAAAGAAGGATTGATACTAAAGCGACAACAGGTAACAAACAATCGCTATCGATCAACAACATCCATGGCAATGTGCGATATACAGCAACCGCACGAACTTATTTGGTTACCTAATATTTTTTTTATCTGAGGACATTCAAGGATCTCTAACCGAATCCAAGAAACCTGTATGGAAGAGATATTTATTCTAATAAAATGTCAATGACTTTTGACAGTACCTTCCATACCTACATTAATATACATATTAGTTGTTTTTACAAAAAATATAGCCTCACTCATTTGGAAGCTGGGATTGGCTTGGATATGTTTTAATGTTATGGTGGATATACAAGCAAGAGCAGGATCATAGGGCAGACATGTTGGCCCTGAGTCCGCGCAGAGCTCATTTTATGGTCTAATGCGAAAAATGTTAATCATACTTTGGATTGCTTAATATGACTCTGGTCACGTCACATGTATGTGGCCAGTGACAGCAGTATGCACAGCCGGCAGTCTAGCGCTCTGAGAGACGCCTGTCATTTGTCAACAGTCGCCGTAGTTTGGATCGTCTATTGTCAATCTAGTTACCAGTGACATGTCTGTGGCCGTGTGCAGCAGTACCGACAGCCGGCCGCTTAGCGCGCTATGTGGGGCGACTGTCATTTGTCAGCGGTCGTCGGCGCCACTCGCTTGTCGGACACGGTCTGTCCATTACCGGACAGGTAATTAAAGAGCGGCCAGTTTGTTCCAACGCCAACCACGACACAACTCCGGTTTTAATCGACACGCTGAGGAGATGTTAATCCGACCCCACGGCCTGATGATTTCTACTCTTGGTATGTCGCGATTACAATCCTAAGGCGATTATAATTAGGCTTCTTAAATACGCGTTCTTCGCGACGAGATGGGACGACCAGGTAGTGGGAATGCACAGTGGTATTCCTTGGATACAAGATCGTTGGAATTCGCCATTTGACATAGTACTGCAACCTTAAAACGTAGAAACGGTAAAAGAACTCCCTACTAGGAAAATCCAATTCCAAACATCTCACATTCTAGGCGAGTATTTGAGCCACTGAACGACGGTGACTCGTGAAGAAGTAGTTCCTTACCAGCTTCAATCGATTGAAGGTTCCACATCCACACCAAATATTTTTGACGTAAGAGAATGATCAATCAGGCCTGAGGTAGTAGAAATAGTTTGTGAAAGAACAGACGTCACTGGAAAATTGTTTGAATTTATAGACCTGTGTCTTGATTTCATTGACTAGACAGAAGGACAATGGTGGGTCTTCGAACAAGTCACTGTCGTCAAAAACGGCACATTGAAATATCGAACTCAGCAGAAGAGGGCTTTGTGCTGTTTCTTTGAAGATGTGAATGACTTTCAAGCAGGATTTGAAGATGTATTTGGGACAATAATCCCAAAAGTGCTACAAGCGAAGCTCTATATCAAGCCTAAATCGGGAGCCACAATAACAGGATATATAGTCGCTTATTGCAAAACTACCCCCATACAAATTGAGGATAGTTTGGACGAATTTCTGAAACCTCATCCAGCAAAATCACTTATGACAAGTTTTGATCCAGAGCAAAATTTGACGCCTTATTTTACTGCTATATCGGGACCATCTTCAGCTGCCCTGCCCCCCCCCCTCCTGGGCATTTGAACGGGTTAACTTCCTGGAATCCCGGCCTTGCTGGTGATCCCCACCTTAACGACGGCGACCAGATATGGGAAAGACGTTTTTCACACTCACCATTAACTTTCAGCGAAGAATCAAATCAACACGAAAGCATCTCCTCCCTTTCCCATTCTAAACCCAATAGACTGGCACTCCACGTGTAGTAGATTATTTCTTAGATAGCGACAATGAGCCGGTACATCTAAACTGTCCCTGTCTATCAATCTACAAAACCTCCTCACACTCACCAAGAAGCTTCGACATCAACGCAAGCAACCGTCTACAAATAAGCAGGTATAAAGTTCGTTTCTTAGATAAGGTTCTTATAGACATAAACTTTTTTCATCGCTCAACAGAACCCCTTTGCACTCACCAAGAAAATCCATCAAATGGAATGAAATCGGCATCGAAAATATCCGTAGGGGAAAGTGGGGTAATTAGGAACAAAATAATAAAAAAGCGTTACAAATGTAATCAAAATTTATTGCAATAGTAAGTTTGGTGATTTACTTACAGAATAACGATACTCAAATGCTTCAAAACAAAGTACACAATAAAAAAAATTGAAAATAAACAACACTGTCATTCCTTTTTACCCGATACGGGGTGGGGTAATTGAGATCAATCCGTGGGGGAAATAGAAACGATATAAGGTAATTGGAAGCGACATAGTTACATTCTTATGAATACTACAATTACTTGCATCAATCACAAATGTAACCCCTACTAGATTGGCCGGTGGTACATTCCTCATGTGCCCAGTAGGAACAAAAGACGCACATGATCCAATCTTCTGTAGGTAGTGATTCATATTTTTCACTGCAGATTATACAGTAATAAACTTTTTTATTTTCATTGTCCTTAGTCAAATTTTTCACTCCCTTGCCTTTAACTTGTGCTTTCATTTCCTCAGCTTTATTATGTTTTTCTGATTTTTTTATTGCCACTTTTTCTTTTTTGATTGTCCTCTCAATGTGTCTTTACTGTTTTTCCTCTAATTGATATTTAATAGGTGTACTGGACAAAATTTGGGAATGCTTCTTATTTCGGCGCTTGGAAGACGTTGCTGTTTGAGGAACGACAGGTATATTAATGATTTCACAAAGTAACATCTAAATCAGTTTCGATTCTAGGAATCGATGTATCATTTTGAGTAGGTGTTTGAATAGCACTAGGATCAATGTGGACAAACTAGGTTCGGTTTTAGATCCTGATTCTTGAGTCTGACTGACGTCAAAAGCATTTCGTAATAAATTTTCGAAGCATTCTTTGAATTTATTCGGATCAATAGGATAAATTCCAGCCACCCTATATCCACTGACGGCCTTGCTTATGTTAGCTGTTTCGTTGTACGCCTTTGTGAATAATTCTCCAACCTCGTATTGGGTTATTCGTTTTCCAGGATTGTTAACCATATAGAGTTCACATTGCCGATTGTATGCATTCTTTATTGAACTGAAGACAGTCAAATCCAGTGGCTGCATTTTGTGAGATACATGAGGTGGCAAGAAAATAACATGCAGGTTGTGTTCTCGAAAAAGCTGGTATGCTCCAAGGCTAATATGACTCTCGTGATTATCGAGTACAATTAACACTGGATCTTCTTTTGTTGGTCTAACAAAAGAAATGAAGTGGTGCAGATAATGAACAAATATTGACTCATTTATCCAACCAGAATCAGAAACTTTTGAAGATGAACGTAGGGGGTACATTATGTACCATTGGCGTTAGCAGCACAAACGATGGTTGTTGTAACACCGCGCTCTCCACTTGTTTCAAGCCTTTTGGAGCTAAAATTTTAGAATTTTGTGAACTGTCCTAATGCCTGTTTCGTCAATATTAAAAATTCGATGAATAGAAAAATTTCTAAATGGTCAAAAAATAATTTCACTTCACTGGCATTAAAAGCGGTTATTCTGTTAAGCGAAGTAGCTTCTGGATGTCGTAGGCTGACAGAAGGATGTCTAGACAAGAAGGAATAATACCAGTTTATGCCTTCTAATTGAAATTCTTTGTTGAATCCGTGATTTAATTTGTTAGCTTCAGCAAATCTATAAGCAATACTTCGTAGCGATTTTGGGGTTATGCCACAAAAAGTCGTGCAGCAACCGATTATGTATCTTTCTAACTGGTCTTCTTGATCTTGATTAAATACAGAGTGCCGACCTTTTTTTGGAAACTTAAATGTTTCTGCTTTTACTTGTTTAAAGAATGTAGTTTTAGGTACCGAATATTTGGTAGCAGCTTCACCCAGAGTGCTCCTTTTGCTCCTAACATCTTCAGCTGCACGACGAAGATCTTCGATGTCGTACTTGGGCGTGATTTTTCTTACGTAATTTCGGGGCATCTAAAACAATTATCTAATATTAGAACAGTACTACATGATCAACCAGCTAATAGGGGTAATTACGAACGCTCAAACTTACCCTCTTGTCTTCGTTCCCAATTACCCGAAGTAGTCAGTTCAAATCAAAATGGCCGCTACACAATACAGAATAACTGGTAACCTTGTAACTAAGTGGAGTCTATTAGCAAGTACTACGTGCAAGATGGTAACAGAGTAATGATGTCGATCAATACCTAAGTCTCAATACATTATCGATTTTTTTATACTCCAACTACCACGAAGGCCTAAGGCCTAAACACCCATTGGGCACCGTGGGGCTATATGGGAATACAGGGGAAAGGGGAACGCCACACGGACTCTGGCGAGGGAACACGTGTGCATGCAACGTGCACACATTCTGGCTCCGCCTACGAGATCCGCCGGGTGGTACCTCCACGTTCGACAGTCAGAGACCGTCTACCACCTACGGACAATCACAACATCCATAGCCAAGAGAAAAATTTCTCCTGGGACGGGACTCGAACCTGCACAGCGCACGGCGACTGATCAGGAGACCGAAGAGTCTACTACTGCGACCACCGCTGCTGCCTGCTCACCAGATACGACAAAAATTATAACAAAATTACAAAATATTTTGTCAGACTCACCGTGACAACCTGCGCGTAACCTCTCACTTACACCTTTCGGGGCTTCCTAAGCGCCGCTTGAGTCGTTTATTCAAAATGTGCTCGACGCAGTAGTGCGGGGGGAAGTACCTAATACGTAGCTGTTCCCATTTAGCCCACTTTCCCCTATTCGTTCTGAACTGATGGAATCGTCTGGCAATTCGCAGATATAAAGCTAATATAATATCTTAGGTAAAGATCTGATCTAAGCTTTCCTTTTTCATCAATCTAGAAAACATCCTCACACTTACTAAGAAACTTCTTCAAATCGAATGAAATCGGCATCAAAAACATCCCTGTTCTTTCTAAACGGAAGCAATCGTCTGGCAATCCTTGTTACGTGGTCGCCTACTCCGATCGAATTAGAGTAATTGGCCGAAAAGCCCCACGTCAACCGCCGAAACAACTTCTAATCGGGTTGTTCTCCCTTCCTCTTCCTCCCTTATTTTATCATCGAATGGCGTCGAAGTCTGGTTAACTTCGGTTTACACATGCGATCGTGGCTATATCCGACGAGCGAACTCCTAGGCATAGAATGAAAATTGTAGGAAATTGTGTATCCTGTTTCCTTTTGCGTGTGACCATGAAGCACATAAGAGCAAGTTGACAGGTACCTAATGAGTGATTCATTTAGAGACACTTTTTTGAAAAGTATAAAAAATAACCAGCTATGAAGGGTAATGCTTATTATCAAACAAAGGAAGCATACAGACATTCAGTGATGCCAATTCGTGGGAAATTTTGAGACCCGAGGGAAAAAGGGAAATGTTTATTTCCTCTCAAAATATGATATTCCTGGGGATTTTCTCTACTGCCTGCTACATACTAAATGAAGAAATTAATTCTAATGCGGAGGCCGAAATAAGTTTTTCTATGGTTACCGATATAAAAAATAAATGGCTTGTATAATGAGACTTTCAAAGCTCTTTGCGGTCGAAAAATAAGGATTGCTCAAGTTTCAGTACTTCAAAAGAGCACTTGGATCTTCATAACAAAGATTTATATTATTTTAAAAAAGGACAAAAATAATTTGTTGTTACATATAATGTATTTTGTGAAATTGAATATGTTCTTTGTTTATAATAATAATGTTATAGTACGTCACGTTTCAGAACGTTGTTTCATTTATATCATGGCTTTATCTTTTTTTGGCCTAAAGAAATCTCCCATCTAGAATATTATTTTAATAATTTTCGGCTAAGACGGTTGATCGACTATAGTTCTATTTAGACCAAATCACTATGATGACATCATTCTGGAAGCTTGAGTTACTACTTTATTAAAAATAATTACTGAATCTGAAATCATTGTAATGACATATCAACCAATAATATTATGAATTAAAATGAATTTACAACATATTAGGGATTCATGGAAATTTCATGAAGAAAAAAGTTTTTTATCGACCTCGTGGAAAATTTTTTATTAAGAGGCTGCAACATTCCTTTCTCGAAAACTATTTTTTCAAATGTTGGCCTTTACACTCTTATGACCTTTCACATAATTCTCTGAATAGAAGAGAAACACTGAAGTTCATTGAATGAGAGTTCATTCTTCAAAGTGATACCTACAAACAGGACTTTTCTATATTCAATAAAACCTGCTTATCGACAAAAAACTCTATGTCAGAGACTGACCTAAATATATATGTCGCGGGCTGACTTCTGTGGCGGGCGGTTTGTTCATGACACAAAAACTGACACAAATTGTGTTGGTTATTTTTTATATGAATAGCGTAATTAACCTTGTGTTCAAGAGCTGAAGTATGTATGCGATTGCAACACACTTTGTGTGTACACCAAGTCTTGAGAAGATGTGAAAATTAGTGTATTTAGTAGTAGTAGTAGTAGTAATTTTTCTTACTGGAGTGTAAAATTAAGTAAATTTTTGCGTAATCCAAATATTCAAACAGCTTAGATCCACTTTATCATACCTCAAACGGGGCAGTCGGTGCCATTGGCAGAAAGATGCATAGGCACCCAATAGCTGTGTCACTCGTTTCAACATCAATAATTCGATTTAATGAATATATGATTACTTTAATTACATACAACAAAAATATTTAAGTAAACTAAAAACGGCATGTGTTCTTATATGTTAAGTTAAACGAAAAATATTTTTCAGAATTATACTTTAGCAGCAAAAAGTACATATTTATTGACAAAAATAGAATTATTACATAAAGAAATTAAGCCATCATAATAATCAGGTTATAAACGGTGAAAAGACGGTACTTCCATCATACAGAGAATAAAAGCAGTATAGTTTGAAAACTAGTGCTTTTTTATTTTTGAAAATTGGCTTACCACATTTATGCTTAGGAAATGTCATCAATATGGAAAGTGAAAAAATAACTACTTTGTTAAATAACGTAATCATAAAAAACTTTATTGGCGCCAACATTTAAAAAAAGGAAGTAAAGGAACCTAAGTACGGCATGGGTATCATGTAAAAAAAATAAAAAACGTCAAAAAAACCTATAAGATGTCATCTTGCAAACCAGGTAGTTTTTAGGGCGCAGTCATTCCACGTTTGCTCACTAGGATCGTTGTGAACGTCCATCTAAAGAGGAATCACTCAACTAAACTACACGCATTATTGGTTGCGTATGTTTTGTAATTCCAAATCGTCCTTGTCTGTAGTTTTTATCTCTGAGAAGAAAGTTGGCTGAATAGCAAGATCGCATCTGGATGATTATGTGTATTGGTCTGCATGTGTATAAAATCACTGGTATTTGCTGTGTGAGAAAATCGTTACTGAATATGCTACCAATGGAGTATATCTATTGGCTGTGCCCGACGGGTTATTTTTTTGTTGTGCTTTCTGAAGAGAGGTTATGTTCAAAGTTACAAATTACGAAAAACTGAGGAGAATTACGGGAAATCATCACCGCGCCCGCGTCGTGTGTAATTATTGTTAGCATGTATATGATTTGTAATTCGGCAGTGTACACTGAATATAATAATTATTTCTTATCTCTCTCATTTTTGAAATTCAGCAAATTTGTATATGTAATTTCCAGAATGGATAAGAAAAAGTGGATGCGTAACTAATTTCCAGCTTTGAGTCTCAATTAAGTGTATTTGAGACAATAACCCAATGTAATTATCATCAACAGATGCAACTTACAGCTTAGACCTCCAGTAATATCATGTCAGAAGCAGATTTTACATCATATCAGAGCCAAAGATTGATAACAAGCCTCATGACGTTTAGGCAACACGTACAACTAAGTGCTAAGTCAACGTCTTGGCGAAAAACCTGCATAATGTCAAAAAAACAGCATAATGTCAAAAAAAGCCAAGATATGGCAAAGACGCCAAGTTGACGGGATGTGCTCCATATGAAGACATAGTCATTTCAGTCTATGTAGAGCAAAATTTCGACACAAATAGTTATGTACAGTAAGCTTCAGTTTTTGACTATCAGGTTGACATTACCGTGAAATCGCCTCGTAATGAAGGAATTCCCATTTTTACAGGCCTCTTCACTTAAGCACTTCCAATTAGCGGAAGGAAAAGAAACCTGGGAAAATCTTATCCAACAGCAAAGGCGCGGTCCATAAGGCGCCGTTTTACTCAGCCCAAAAGTGATTAGAGGCTCAGCAGCGAGAGAGGTAGCGACTAATTATTAATAGCTGGCTGCTAATTAAAACTGCTCGGCTATGGCGGACGCACGGCGAGAGAAGGGGGGGAGAGGTGGGCGGGGTTTCAGCTACGGCGTTGCCGTCTGTTGAAAGATTATCCGGTGTGCTTAGGAGAAAAAAGTTGACACGTCAGACTTGACTTGCAATTTTGGAATAACGTATTCGAGTACTTTAAAGTTATAATTCTTAGCTGTTGTGAATGTGGCTGAAAAAAAATCTGCGACCATAACAGTCATCATTGGAAGTTTGGCGACGTGGTTGTGCACTATGCAGCCTGTAGATACAGGCATGCGAACTAACTATTCAAAGCTTTACAGGCAATTTAATTTAAACAGCAATAGAATTAAAATTTTTCTATCTATACAGGGTGACTTCGAAGTTGAGTCATTTATTTCAACAGTGAGTAGATCTGATCAAAAGAAATGTTTTTTTCCTTTACCATTTTTCTGGTAAAATTAAAGTAACAAAGTTATAGCCCTTTGGAAGTTTGAGTACCGCCCTGTCTCAATAATAATATTATGTGGTCGTGTTTGGCGACAACGGATATAATCCGCCGTATCGGTTCATCGCATCGGAAACAAAAAAGCGAAAGAATTTGGAACGATGTTTTTACAATCATTTCATTCATTTGTATACAGTCAGTGTCAGTGAATAGTGGTATCTGTTGCGTGGCTCAAACGAAATAAAAAATGGCACATGTTTATGCGGATCGGTTTCCCAATCGAGTGCAACCAACCCCTCGTGCCTTTGTTAATGTAGTACAACGGGCTCGTGAATCAGGTGACTTAAGACCTCACAGGGGACCTCACGATCAAATACAGGTCCGCACTGAAATACTTGTCGGGAGGATACTTTATAAAACAAGGTAAACAATTTTTTTTTATTTTTTTTTTATTTTTACACAAATATTTTGGTTTATCTTCCTTCTACAATCATTATCTGAAAATTAATGACTCAACTTCAAAGTCACCCTGTATATCACTGGGTTTTCGGCTCCGACGATAACTCTAATCTCAATCTATGAAATTTTTGCATTTAAATCTTTTAGAACAGATGCATTTTAAAGTTACATCAATTCTTTTAATTTCAGTTTTCAGTAGGTATGTAAAAGCGGAAATTGGAAAATGTAATATTGTTGTTCACCCATTTTCAACTTAACCTAACTTAAGCAGTATTTTTAGAGCATGGTCTCAACACTTTCTGATTCAAATCTATAATAAAGTCACAGAACATTCAGTGCTTTTTAGAAAGGTTCTTATTTTTTGAACGGGTCAAGTTCGCTCGCCGAAATTTGGGGTGGTGAAATTTACGCATCCTAAGTATCTACTATATTTTAACATAAATAACAATTGTGAATTTTAAGATAGCGGCTAGGCGCTTCCTGTAACATTTTTCAAATGGAAGGAGGGGTCACGTGATACCTTATTTTCAAGCTCATAATGAGCACTTCATAATACAAGAATAT